AAGCGACGATTTCCCCCGTCACCCCGCAGCTGACAATCCAATTTGCAGAGCGCCGCGGCCTGATTGATGCTGCCGATGGCAGCGCTCGTCTCTCATGTCGACTTAACAAGGTCCCCGCTGCCTAAACGGTTCCGGCCGACTCGGATGACAAACGCGTTTCGGAGCCCGCAGTTATTAAGCTAATTGTACCTCCTGCCTAACGACGGCAGCGGCTGACCAGGCGGGCGGCGGTTTGCCATCGGGGTCTGCTGTCGAACGTTTTATCTGATGCCGCCATCTAAATGAGCTAAAACTGGATGCGGCGAGGCGGGAAAGGTGTCATGTGATCACATTACATATTCATTACATATCTTCTTTTAGTCCCGGTGATGTCCTCATTTAACTGCAACAAGCCCTATTTTACCTGCTCTGGAACGCATGCAAACGCCCTGGAACGCACTGAAAGCCCATTTTAAACATTTTACCAAAAACGGCCCGGAACGCATCAAAAAACACGGCACAACCCACTGCACTGTGTGTGCAGAAACTCATGCAGACCTGGTCTGCATGTGAACAAGCCCTTATTATGAAAGTAGAAAGCAGAACTCCTTCTTTGTGGTGGGGAGAATAAAGCTTGGCTCCGGGAGTACTACAAGTCTCAGCATGTCTCATTATAGAGAGAGAGAGGGGAGTGTATGTGATAGTAATAAAGTTTAGTGGAAAAAAAAATGTAAGTCCCCCCCAAATTTAAAGTTATACATAAAAAAGAATAAAAAAACAAAAAAAATAAAATAAATTTTTTTTAAAGTCCCCACCCATACATACACGCTCTATCGGTCCCCAGAAAATGGTATAAAATGAATTTCAGTACAGCGCTGCGTGACGGAATAAATGTCAGTCAAAGTACCGCAGCGCTGAATACTGAGAAATGGCCGGGACAGGAAGGGGGTCTAAACACCTGGTCAGCAAGGGGTAATGTCACTTTAACCACTTCCGGGCCACAGTACGTCTATAGACCGCGGCCCGCAGAAGTGGTTAAAACAAGAACGCGGCTGCTTCGGCAGCCGTGCTCTTGGTACCGCTTTTAACAGCAGGCGATTGCTGTGTAACTTACAAGCAATCGCCTGCTGAGGACTACAAATCTCAGCAGTACTTTATACAGAAATGCTATTGTTATATAAAGTATTGCTGGGATGTGTAGTCCTCTATAGCCTGTGCCATTCTGTATTGCTGTAAATATTAGGGCTGCACCATATATTGGCCGCCAAAACATATTGGCCGAAAATGGCACTTTTGGCATAATGCCGAAAGTGCCATTTTTCTGCCGAAACAGCGGCACGTCCCTGATTCCTTTTCTCCCCGCTGGGCGCTGCTCTGTGGGGAGGAGAGAAAGTGACAGCCGGCCGAGCGCTGCAGAAGGAGAGCGCTGTGTTTGGGGGGGG